GTAGGAGTTTGCCGTTTATTCCGAAAGATCTTAATTTTAACAAAAGTCTGTTGTGAGGTACAGAGTCAAACGCTTTGGCAAAGTCAAGATAGATTACATCAATAAATTGGTGAGATGCTATGGAGGACGAAATGATATCAAAAGTTTCTATTAGGTTAGTTACGCATGATTTATGATAAAGGAAGCCATGTTGATTTGCAGAGAGCATTTTATTATCGTTAATGTGCTTTAAAATTTTTTTCTTTACAAGTTTTTCAAAGATTTTACAGGCAACAGATGTTAGTGAAATAGGTCTATAGTTTTCAGCAAGTAATTTATCTCCCTTTTTTTTATAGATCGGACTAATATTTGCTAATTTCCATTGAGTGGGTACTACTCCAGAATTAAAGGATTTATGAAAGATTTTTGTTAATGGAATTGCAAAGCTTTTGGCACATATCTTGAGTATTAAGGGATGCAAGCCGTCAGATCCGAAGGATTTATAAGGCTTTAGATCGGCAAGTTCCTGAATAATATCTGAGATAGAGAAATCCAAGTTTTCATTATAAATGCATTCAGAAAGAATACCACTTTTATTTAGCAAAGGAAAATTTTCAGAGCTTTCAAGTGTAAACATAGATTTAAATTGAGAGTTCAGAAGATCAACTATATCAGGAAGAGCTTCAATAATTCTGCCTGAAGTATCTTTGAGAGAGCGAATTCTATCTTTAATTTTTAGTTGTTTGTTGATATATTTGTAAACGATTTTTGGGTTGTTTTGGGATTTTGATATTATTTCTTTTTCATGTGCTTTTTTTGCTTTAAATATTTCAGTTTTTGCTGAACGATTAAGGCGATTGTATTTTATTTTAAGCTCACTATTCTCCCATTTGGTAGAGCAGTTTATATGCCAAGCGGATTTTTTTTCTCGGATCAGGTTTTTAATATGTGGGGTAACCCAAGGATCATACTTTTTTTTTGTTTTATTAATCTTGGGAATAAAATATGTGCAAGCAGTGCGATAGTTAGAAATTAGTATATTGAACATTTGATCTGCAGTTTTATGCAGGAATAAAAACTCCCAGTCGATTGATGCAATAAAGTTAGATATTGAATCGTAATCACCTTTTTTGTAATTAAACGATTGAGATTCACTTTCGGTAAACAGTTCTGAAACTAAGAATCTCCAAGTGATACTAAAATGACCCTTAGTGGTGTTACCTAGTATAGTACTAGAAGACAAGTTTAAAATAGAATTACTGTTGTAGGTAAATAACAAGTCCAACATATTATTTGAGGAACCATAATCAGTCTGGAAAGTAGGAAATGTGATATGTTGAGTAAAAAGGCTGTTTTGGAAAATATTCCAGAAATCATACTCGGTAGGATTGTTTGGGTTAAAAGATTCAATACCATCGTTAGACCACTTTATATTCGGGAAGTTAAAGTCACCGACAATCAAACAGTCATCATAGGGCTTTTTAATTAAACTATGAGCTAATTTGAAGGATTCAGCGACATATTTTATTAAACTGGCATCATTTGGTCTGTACATACAACCGATAAGTATATGTTTGTTGTTAAATTTTACAGATACCCAGACTTGTTCGAGAAGATTTGTATAAAATTGGTTAACTTCATGAGAGTTAAATACGTCTGTAATGTAGATAGCTACACCGCCACCTCGACGTCCGTCTTGACGATCTTTACGATATAGGCTATACCCATCGATATTAGGTACTGAGTCATTTCGAAACCATGTTTCAGAGATAGCAATAACGTGATAATCAAACGTTCTAGATATTGAAATTAAATCGGCCATTTTATTATCGAGAGATGTAGCATTAGTATAATAACAATTAACGCTATAGTTTGTTTTTTTGTTATGAAGATTTTTACTTTTGTATTTTAAGTTTGCTGGTAAAAGAGTGGAAGAAGGGTAGTAATGTTTATGTAGTGGTTTGTATATTTTTGAGTTTGACGACTCCGCTGCTTCGTATACCGTATCTAAAGGGCGATGTTTTTAAATTGATATTACTATTTAATTCATTACGCTTCATTCTTAACTGATAGTTTAAATATCTTTCAGCCTCAGTCAAATCTGGGCTTATAAAAATATTTTTATAATTATCTGAATTTTTCAATTTTTTTTGCTGCTGTTAATAATGGGTTTCTTTCGGAGACATCAGAAAGTTCGACGATAATTGGTCCTGGTTTAGAGGACGTAGATTTAATACGTTTGACAGATTTTGGTTTTGCATCAGATGAAATAGTAACTAAGATATTCTGAACCGTTTCCTTATCGTCGATATGCTTATCAGCAACTGATAACTTTGCAGATTCTTTAATGCCATAAATAATAACATTTTTTTCACGCTTCTTTTTTTGCTGTTGCTCAATGGCAAATGTGTTGATAATTTTTAGTTGTTCAATAGGCTGCTTTTTTTTATGTTTTTGCTTGCAACTGTAACCCAGCTGGATTCGATACTACTGGTTGTGGTATTAGTTAGCTCATTAGGATTTTGGATTAGCTTATCTATTATTAATTGTTGTTGCTTTATTACTTGTTCTAGTTCAGATATTTTGGCCGACCATTTCGCAGTTTCAGCATGAATAAGTTTTTTAATTGCGTCCTCGACTTGCTTTAATTGAGCTGGTGTTAAATTAGTCATCACAGATGAATTTTTTTTTTTTTTATATCAGTGATGTTTTTATGTTTATTTATTTGTTACAATTATTGCAAATTTATTTGTTACAATTATGACAAAATATTTTAATATATTTTTTAAAGTTCAAACGCACCTAAGTATAACGACTTCAGGAAAAGTCATTCAAACAATTAATTTCAATAGAATATGAACGATGAAGCGTGACAAAAAACAATGAAGTCGTTAAAGCGCAAAACAGTTATTTAGTTTTAAAAAAAGCTAAATAGTTAAGGCTTTTTCATAGCTCTTTCAAAAAATTCTATGGTAAAAAAAAAATAACCTGAGATTAAACATATTTTACCGAAACTTTAATCTAATATTATTATCTATATATATATATATATATCTATAATATAATCTATATATATATATATATATATATATATATATATATATATATATATATATATATATATATATATATATATATATATATATATATATATATATATATATATACATACACACTATAATGCAATATTTATTACTTATTTATAATAAATCAATATAGAATATATTATACTCACAAGAAATATTTGCATTGTTGTTTTTGATCCAAAAAATGTTTATATTTAGTAAGAAAGAACTTTTTTCTTTTTCCACACTCATTAAATTTTTTTATTAAATTAAAAGCCAGACTTTTGAAAATGTTGAAATTTACAGTGCAATCAGGATAAAGTGATAAAAACTTGAACTGCAAAAATATAGCACATTCAGATACATTTTTACTCGTGAAAATATGCCTTGGAGGAAAATCATCAGCCAGAAGTTTGCTAAGATTAAAAGTAACAATTTTTAAAAAATTCTAAATCACGATGAGAGCCAAACTTAGGTTATAACTTAAAGACTTGAAAAGAATGTTCCGCCCGCATTCAATTTTTTCTTGACAAAAACTAACTGACCGGTTTTTAATAAAACCACCTCTTTTGAATTGATTTTATAGCATGTTACTACAAAGGTAGCCAGAATATTATTTCACTTATAAAAAGTCAATTTGCTTGAGAAAATTTTAAAAAAATAAAAAACTGGCTACCTCTGTAGTAACATCGTATAATCGATCAATCTTTACAGACACCCAAAAACAATGATCCAAATATTATTTTTTTCTTTTCTTGGTTTTTTATTTACAAAATGTATCATTTATTAGAAAATGTGCAAAAAAATGAAGAAATTTGAAAATTATCTCATGTAATTTAAAGATTTAGTGAAAACATGGGTTTTTTTACCCCTGAAAATCCCGCACCTGAAAAGGCAAATTAAAAAAAAATTTTAAAAAAACTTTTTTTTATTAACTAATACTAACTTGTTTCAGTTAAAAAATATTTAAAATATTAAATTGAAAAAATTTTTCTGAAAAGTAAAATCCTATTTCGCCTCGCGACGCATAGTGGAACGGTAGGTTCCATTTGGTCTCTGTTGTACTCTAAGCAAATTTCCTACCTTTATTAGTTTCAGTACTTCCTGGATGATGCAATTAAAATGATTTTTTAAGTTATGGATGAAATCTACTTATTGGTTTCAGTTATTATCAGGGTGGCCACATAAAATTTTTATAAGAAAAAGAGGATATTAGAGGAGATTTTGCATTTAATTAAGATTTTTTCACATTACAAAATTTTGAATAAAAATAGAGGATTTATTTTTAAAGATTTAACGTCCATGTTTCCATGGTAAATATAACTGGGGTTTAAACAGGGGTCAACAATGCCATTTATGTTAAATGAGATAGATGTGTTAAAATTGATTTTTTGCAGTCTAAATGTCATTTCAGACATTTAGATTGCAAAAAATCAATTTTAACAAAAAATAATTTTTTTGTAAAAACTTTAATAAAAGTTTTTACGAAAAAATTATTAAATTAAAATAATAAATTTTTTTTTTATATATATATTAAACTTTAAACTAATAAAAAGTCCAACAAATTGCAAAAACAAAGATTTAAAAAATAAATAAATAAGTCGGCTTTAAGGTTGGACCGGGCCGGGATATTAGCATAACAAAAAAAAAGGCCCCCAATCGAATACGCCGTTTGTACATTAGCTAGGCCTGCAGTATAGATCGCCGTGACTAAAAAGCATTGACAGATTTTACAGAATCAGCTCATCATTAACCGTAAATGCCAAAAAAGTGGCTGATTTTTTAGTTAGGTGAACTCAGCTGAGTATAGGTTTAATAAAGTTGTGGCTTTGAGTAACTTGTTTGGAAAAAAATAAACAATACTATTTAAGCTATTACGCGTTGTTGAAACAATATGATTCAGTCACTTTTAATGAATTACGTGCAATATTTAATAATATAAAAAATTAAGCTTACTTTTCAAACTACCGTTTTCTCAAATTAAAATCCTTTTCTACTAAATGTGGCGTCAAAAAGTACATTAAAAACTTAAAATAATAGTTAAAAACTACATAAAACCTAAGTAGTACATACGATAGGATAAAATAAAAATTGCCTACAAATTTTACAAAATTCTCTATAATAAATTACCCAGACCTAAACCAACTAAACTAAATTACTAAATATAAAAAAACTACAACGAAAAAACTATAATGAAATTAATAAATTGACTTTAAGTGAATTAAAATTGAATTTTGCCAATTTTCATTAATATTGTATCAACCAATCAATAGTCAGTGTGGTTCTTGCATAAAGCATTCGATATGAGCACAAAAAGTATAATAACCAATGAACAAAAACAACAACAAAACATTTGCAAGCATAAAGTTGCGACTTGATTAAAAAGCATTTTTTACGGCTGCAATAATATGATTTGAGCTGATACCAAACAGCTCAAGAAGTGCATCCGGTGGACCGCTTCTAGGCAAACCGTTAACAGAAATTCTTTTCACTCTAACATTTGTCATAGATAACGCTCCAGAAACAGCTTCACCGAGACCACCTGAAAAATATCACAAAGTATTAAATAAAATTTATTCGCAAATTTGTCAAAATATTTTTTAAAATTCAAACTGAGTTTCAAGGTAAGCTACTATGGAAAAATAATTAAAATTTTTTCTGATCTAAACTGAAGTGGTTATTAATTTTTGATTCCCATAAAACCTTTTGATTTTAGTAAAGACGTGTTGGACAAACCGAAAAGTAATAGTATAAATTTTTTTAAGATATAAAATAAATATAAAATTTTTATTAACATAAAAAATTTTTACCTTCAGGATAGTGATCCTCAACAACAACTACTTTGCCTTCACAAGCAATTGCATTTGAAATAAGACCTTCATGATCAAGTGGTTTAATGGTAAATGGATCAAAAACACGAACGTAAAGACCTTCGCTTTTTAAAACGTTGTACGCCTTTAAACATTCATGTAGGGTCACACCTGCTCCTACAAGCAAGCACACGTCTTTATCACTTTGATGAACAACCTGAAGACCAAATTACATCATTGAATACATATTCTGAGCTTAAGTTACATTTATATACACATACAATTTATATATACATATGCGCATATATGTATGTATGTATGTATGTATGTATGTATGTATGTATGTATGTATGTATGTATGTATGTATGTTAGGGTGTCCCAAAAAACAACTTTTTTGAAAATAATCTGCTCTCACCCCCTAAATGTGTTCTATCTAATACAAAAACACTAAGTTTAAATTTTTTTTTTCAATAAAAAATAATTTAAAGGGTCCCTAATATTCTCAAAAAAAAAGTTTTTAAAAATTATGTCAACCTGGTACTCAAATGAACCGAAATTATATAAAAATTTCAAAAATAATGTTCATTTCGGAAAAAACGATACGTACTTAAACGATACTTTTTTTTTTTTAACGAAATCGGCGATTTTTTGACAGAAAATTGTTTTTTGTTTTGGCAAATATTGTATATTTTAAGGGAAATATAGTTACGTATCGTTTTTTCCGAAATGAACATTATTTTTGAAATTTTTATATAATTTCGGTTCATTTGAGTACCAGGTTGACATAATTTTTAAAAACTTTTTTTTTTGAGAATATTAGGGACCCATTAAATATTCGAGGGTCTTGAGGGACCCTTTAAATTATTTTTTATTGAAAAAAAATTTAAACTTAGTGTTTTTGTATTAGATAGAACACATTTAGGGGGTGAGAGCAGATTATTTTCAAAAAAGTTGTTTTTTGGGACACCCTAATATATGTTTGTATGTAAGTATGTATGTGTTTATGTATGTGTGTATATGCATGTTATAATATTGGACAAAACATTTGCAACCAATATCGAACAATGCTAAAAAGTGTTCCTAATTTTACATGTCTTAAAAACGAAACGAACTATACTACCACAGCAAACAGTTCAGGAGTCTACAGTCATGGCATGCGATGAGATGAGCAATCAGCTGATAGGTGACAGCACACAGGCTGAATTTCGTTGACAAGTGTTATTTTGCAGCAGAAAAAACTTTGGTTTGTTTCATTTTCTTAGGTCTGGTCCGTGTCAACGTCACGGAAGATTTTTAATAATTAAAGAAAGTATCCAGAAGTTTCCAGAAGCACGCAGAAGCTTCCGGAAGTTTCCAAAAGAAGCATCAGGAAGCATCCAGAAATATCCAGAAACATTCAGAAGCATCCAGAAGCATCGAAGAAAAGCATCTAGAATCTTCCAGAACAGGTTCATTTTACTATATAAGAGACATGTAAACCGACATATAATTTAGTCAGTATATGGAAGTCAATCAGTCAGTATTATTAAGACAGTTTATCCAAGTGAGTTTTATCAAAGTGTTATCGAAGAACATCAATAGCAGAAGTGAAATACAACAAGTGTTTCATTACATCAATACAGTCCACATCCAACCAAGACGTTGTGTTCCACAGAGCATTAATGTATCATCACAAGGTAAATATAACACCGTAAGCCTTGAGAAGCGTGATTATTTATTTTCATTATTTTTATGACTTCAAGTGCAAAAATGGCTCCCGACAGTCTTGGACTAGAAATAAGAAAAAAAATTATTGGCGATTAAGTAAGTGGAATGTCACAAAAAAGTATTTGTGATAAATATCACGTGAAAAAATGGACCGTATCAAGACTATGTTCCAAATATCGTTCTATGGGGAAGTTGGCAGCAGATAACAAAGGTGGAAGACCGCATTCCACCACTTTTAGAGAGGATTCTATGATTGCCAGATCCGTCAAGAAGGATCTCTGGATATCATCATTCGAGATACAAGAGCTGCATGTATCGGAATGAACAATCAGACAACCTGCTGTTGAAACCGGATTGTTTTCTTGACGCGCTGCAAAGAAACTGCTGAATTCACTAAAGAACCAGAAGAAAAGACTCCTGTTTGCTACATCTCATGTTGACTGGAATGTGCAGAAATGGCGAACTGTCCGGTTCAGTGATGAATCAAAGTTCAACATTATTGGGAGCAATGGCATTTGCCGTGTACGTCGACCGGCAGGAAAACGGCTCGATTTACGTTACTGCCATAAGACCGTGAAGCATGGTGGAGGCAATGTAATGGTCTGGGTGTGTTTTTCTGCTAATGGTCTAGGTCCAATACATCGAAACGATGGAATAACGGCCCGTTTCATGTATAAAAATATTACCTCATGCTGAATGGAATATGCCAATAAAATAGGTTTTTCAGCAAAACAACGATCCGAAACACACTGCAAAAGTAGTCAAGCAGTGGCCGCCTCAATCTCCAGATCTCAACCCTATTGAGAACCTGTGAGAGATCGTCAACCACAGAATTAATCGTGAAGGTGTTTGTAATAAGGATCAACTGTTTGAACAAATCCAAAAGGCCTGGGCAGTGATTCCACAAAGTTTCATTGATCACCTGATCGAATCTAAGCCTCGAAGATGCAAGGCTGTAATCGACAACAAAGGATTTGCCACAAAATATTGATAGCAAAATACAGCTTGGTCAACATTTTGTGGAGTTGCACTTGTTTTGTCTAAAAGGAAATCTACTTTTTTTAATAATTTTGATTAATTTATTAATTTTTGTGTACAAATAATGAACTTTGTGATGAATAAAATTTGAAGAACGTTGTCTCTAAACAGTTACATAGTTATTTCTCTAAATTGAAAAAATGCAGCATTTTTATATGAAGAAACTAAATTAGCATAATTTGGTTGCACTTATTTTGTATGATACTGTATGTATGTATGCGTGTGTGTATGTATGTGTGTATGCATATATATATGCATATATATATATATATATATATATATATATATATATATATATATATATATATATATATATATATATATATATATATATATATATATATATATATATATGTGTATATATATATGTATGTATGTATATATGCATTAGAGATGTGCCGGGTGCCAAGTTTGGACCTGGAAAAATTATTTATCAAATATTAATTAAACAGTATTGTTTTATGCTTCAGTATATTTCATAATATTACTTTGTGTATAAGTATTTGTTGACAAAAATATACCTTATAAGTATTACTTTAATTATTATTGACTTAATATTTATTATCTGTTATTATTTCTGCATTAAAGTATATATATTCATATATAAAAGATTCAAAAAAGAAACAATGGGATTATTAGTTGTTGAGAAAATCAGATAATCCATTACCACTAAGATGGGTGAGTATCTTATGGTCCAAGAATGTTTCTCCAAACTGCATTTCCAACATCACATGATTGTTTGCAGTGAAGTCTTGATTATTAGTGAGACAAACTACTAGCTTATGAAAAAAGTCACGTAACTTATTGATACAAAACATTTTTTCCAAGGTTGCAAACACCATTTAGTAAAGCTGTAAAACCCGTTAGAGGTCTGCATTCTAATTCAAGATTACTTGACACAAAGCTCCTAAATCTAATAAAGTAGTGTGCTCTAAACTTAAAAACTTTTAGACATAGCTTTTTGTAAATGATAAACCTTTTTTTGCAGTGAAGATTACGTTCCTTGTAAAAAGTCTTGTAATGATTGTATCCATTACCTTTGCAAATGTAATTCAAATTTAAGAATTCTACTAAAAAAACTTATTTGGATAAAAGCCTATTGAGAAAAACTTTGCAGTCTCTTTAACATCCAGACCTAATTGAGATTGATTGAATTTAAATCTTGTTTTCCGGTAGCTAAACGTTAATATTTTTTCACAGATACTATAAAAATTTTATATTGCATACCAAAATACATTGTAATCAAAGCATGGTAGTTAATTTATTTTTTTATTTTAAATTTTAACTGTACAATATACCTTATGGATTATGCAAAGAATGAACTGTATTACTATGGTAAAACATGTAACTATCCAAATGTTATTCTTTGATATAAAATAGTAAATCCTTTATTACTAACCTTTCCATGACCAACAGTAAAACTAGTATCATTTGGGTAAACATTTACTGTTGCTGGTCGACTAGTTCTAATGTAACACATGGTGGGAATGTTAGCAGCAAGCTCCACAGCACGTTCACAAGATACACCATCAGAAGGATAAAACACAACACAATTCGGAATAGCACGAAACATAGCTAAATCCTCTAAAGCCATCTGGGAGGGACCATCTTCACCTAATAAAAATCAAATTTTATGTCAAATAAGTTTATTACTTTGTTGTTATGTCAAATAAGTTTATTACTCTGTATCACAATATAAAGTAAAACAAAAATCATAGGTGAACTTTTGTTTTAAATTGCTGATAAAGCAATTATTAGTAGTGAGTTTTTCCTAAAAAGGTCACCATCTTTAATTCTTTACTGAGTTACATATATTTGTATAAATATAGGTAACTTTTGTAAATTGTATAAACTTTTGCATAGATATTTATTTTATACCAAGCCACATTCAAGTTCAAAGATTTAACTTAAAATTATTTCAAGACATCAGATTTTTAGTCATACAGTTTTTAAAATGTTATTTTAGAAGTTTTTAAAAATAACATTTTAAAAACTACCACACACTCAGGGGCTATTCTAGAAAAAAAATTGGGCGGCGGTACCCCCCAGTCCCAGAGGAAATATTACGAACACCAGTATTTTTTCGACATTTGCCCTAAAAAAAAAAATCCTTATTTTTTAATTTGGGCGGCGCCCAAATACAGCCAACCCTGTTGAAAACGGTCTAGAATAGCCCCTGACACTAAATATTTCTAATTTATTGCTGAATGTTTTCCTTGCTGGAATTTTATTAGAAAGTTAAATTTTTCTTCAAGTTATTACTAAACTATTAAAAACTCTTTTTTTAAAACAACTTAAATAATATAGATTTATAATTTGTTTATCACTTTCCTTTTTTTCATTTTTTCTATAATCTTGGTGCTTAAAAAATTTGACTGGCTAGGGTTTTGGGAATTTGTTGTAAAGTCTTTTTTTATCGCATATCGCAAGGTAAAGCATAGGTGGCAATGATGTTTACATGACAAAATAAACAAGTGTTGAACTTTTTTGAAAGTAATAATAGATGCGATTCTGAGAAGTTTATTACCAACCACTACAAAAATTATGTTTGTACAAGTTTAAGTTTTTTTTTTTTTACACCCCATATCATCTTATGTTGTTTTATATTTTACAAATGATTTTTTAATATATAAATTTTTGCTTTTGGTAAGTAATGCTTGTTTTTAGAGATTGTATTACCAGTTTACTGGCAAATAGAAGATTTTTGTTCCGGGAAATTTACTGTTAAATTACAATAACTTACAGTTAAACTACAAAAATTAAATTACAGTAAAGTTACAATAGTTTACCTTTAAATTAAAATATTTTACCAGTAATTTACCAGTTTTTTGTATGGACAGTCTCAATTATTATTTTTAATATCTGCAAGTTATACTTTTATTTTAAAAATACTTATATTAATACTGATATATAAAAACATTAAATATTATAAATGGGCTTCAAATAAAGTATACTTGAAATATCGAAATTAAAAGTTGAGTAAGGTGGAAATAGGATACTTTGAGTTTTAAGTAAGATGGGGATGAAATACAGTAATAACGTACCGTTTGGTCGATGTCACAAAATTTTACTAATTAGAATTCTGGGATTGAAATTCGGACAAACAATCATTTTTGTAAGCATAGCTGCTCTATAAAGTGTAATGTATTTCTTATAAAACTTAGGATTATGATATAAGTTTATATTGGCATTGGAAAAAAATTTGAACAAGGTTTTTTGTTGGTAAAAATTATTTTTAAAAAATCCTTTTTTTTTTTAATTCAATGTCGACAAGATAAAATGATGGATTGAGTGTCATAGACAAAAAAGGTGGTAAAAGATGTAGATTTAAGTAAAACTAACTGCAACTAATAAAACTAAGCCATCTTAAAAAAGAACAGAAATTTTTGATATCTTTTGCATTAAAAATATTTAAGTCAATATTAATTTAATTTCGAATAATATAAATGGAATTGACTCTTTTGTGGATACTTTTTATATACGTACACGTCTACCATTTAATGAAAAATGTTATGCCATCTTGCTGTATTAACTGTTTTTTTAGTTGCACAATAAAAATTTGTATTTGCAAAACAAAACAAATAATGCTCTCAATTTTTGCCATATTTCAGCATCATGGTTCTAACAAAGATGTTTCTTATAAGTTTACAACTTTTAAGAAACATCTTTGGTAAAATAAAGCTATAATTAGTTAGGTTTCTTTTGTGTAAGATTTGTTTGTGGAATTCTAGTAACTTTAATCATATTTTGCTGGACCAAAAATATGATTTAAGTTACTAGAAAAAACATGAAGTTACTAGAAAAACAAAATAAAATAATGCCTATATACTATTTTTTATTTTTAATCATCAATGTTTTAGCTATATTGTTAAAATCTTTTTTTTTCAAACATAAGAAGCCATGTTTTTAATTTAAAAGTTTTTATTTGTTTTTGCCAGTTGGTCATTATTTCTTAATTATTTTCAGATTTAGGAAACCTTATAAAAATGTTTCTGAAGTTAATCTATCACTATATCTAGAATCTGATCTACAAATTCCCCAAGAACAGTACTTTGTAGGACCTTAGTTCTTCATGTTTATCAAATTGTTTGTCTGAATATCAATCCCATAACCACTTGCGCTACATTAAGTAGTTCTATTTTTAGAACACAAACAGTACGCTATTAAGTTTTGGATAGAGTGAACATGAAATTATTTAATTATAAGTTAAAAAAGTTATTAGGATTTTTTAGTATTTTTGTTCTTGTTTTTTATGAAAATTTTATGAACTTTATTTATTAAACAAGTTTGCTGAAATGTTTAGTTCAATAGTGGATTGCATTGCTAAGTTGTGCAGATTTAACAATTAGCTCACATTACAATGTGGGCTAATTGTTAATCTATTAAGAGCCTATCTTCACTTAAAAAAATGCAAGGTTATCACCGGGGCACTTGACTTTTAGATTATAAAATTATATATTTACACATTATTTACAAATCTATTATTAAAAACTATTTTTTCACATTACCATAATTAAAATAAATTAAAAATTGCAAAATTTTATATTTATATTGTAACAAATATATAAAATAACACAAATTATAACAAAATATTTTTTATTATAAAATGCAATTTTAAATTATATAAAGAGGTATTTGGAGACGCATTCTTAATGCCCCATTTTGTTAAAAAAAAGTAAATTTTAAAATCTTCATTTTATTAAATATGTAAATACATAAAATCTGAAAAAAATTAATTCAAAAAACAAAAGCATTTGCCAATATAAAAAATACAACAGCATTTTATATATAAAGAATGATAAACCAAATCGGTGTTGTTGGCACTGTACCATGGTGCTTAGTTAAAATTTTTCAGGTGCCAAAATGAATAATAAGTCCACTCAAATTCATACGAAGTTAATGGAAAAGTAGCTGGTACATTTTTAATGTTTTCACAAGCAGGAAAATTTATCACTTTTAACAACTCAGTAATTTTAAAATTGAAATCACCCATTTAAATTTAACCAAAAGGCTTCGCATAAATGATGCTCACAAGGTCAAAGCATGGGATTCAGTAGATCTGTTCCATAAAAGTCACTAAGAGATATGATGAATTCCTTCTTGTGTCATGTAAAAATTGACCTTCTGAAATCATTTTTGTAGAGACTAGCACAAAGTTCTTAAAAAGTATCCAAAACAATAGTAATCCTTTTCCACCCAACATGTTCTGCAAAAACATTTTAATTGTTTTTTTAACCGACAACGGAACAGTACTTTCAATATGCTTCTCTAACATTTTGTTTTCAATATGCTTCTCTGGTATGTACAAGTTTAAATACCTCATTAAAGTGCGCTAAAAAAGATACTTGACATGGGAAAATATGATATAGTGCCAAAAAGATACTTGACATATCGCACTTTGTATGAGGCACAAATAGCTAAATTAAGTCTATGACTGTTACAATGAGCATACACAGCTTTTTTATTCAGATTTAAAATACAAGAGTGTTTTAAATCTGAATAAAAAAGTTTAGTGTGACCATCAATAAGAAAACTAAATAAATTTACATGAGTCAACAAGACTCGTATATTTACAAGAATTTATACTTTTCTATAATATACCTTTCAAAGAGATTAATTTTGCTTCGTCATTTTGTTGCATGATGCTTTTAATTGTAGGATTAAGTGATTTACACTTCTAACATCTAACATTAGAGAGATATTTTAAATATCTTAATAAACCTTATATATTTCAGGGTGTCAGTATTGAGGTACGTCCGACAGTGTTTTTTAACAAACAAAACAAATTACTCAAAATTTATTGAAAATAAATATTAATATAAATAAAATAAATATTAATATAAATATGGAAAACTAAACTAAATAAAAAGCCCAATCATAGAAAAAAATAATGTTAGGTACGTCAATTGTTTTATTTTGACATGTATTAATTATTAAAATATATTTCACCTCCTGGATTATCGCAAAACAAAGGATTTTGACTAAGATTTTACTTATAGGTGTACTACTTTGTGTACGTCCAAAAATTGTTATAAGTAAAGAAATTAATATTTTGCTTTTATAACAAAACAAAAAATAATTTAAAAACAATTTTCATCGTTTAATAAAATATTGGGTACGTCCATTGACCCTTCTAATTAAATATTATTTATTTATAATTAATTTAACATCCAGATAAAAAATATACTTCTATTTAAACTTGAAAAACCGCTCTAAACAAGAAGCAACTTTATTTACTCTAAACAAAAAGCAAAAAAATTTTTTTCTTCTTCCTAAGTGTTTATATAATGTTAATAAAACTTAAATCTAATTTACTTATGGTTAAGTAAAAAATTATTTTTATACGCAATATTAAAATTACATTAACAGACTATTTTTTAAATTTAACTTTATTTTTGGGTACATCTACAGATGTAATAGACGTACCCTAGATCCGTCCCTGAGTCTAAGTGAAATATTGTTTTGTTTTTGATGTGATTATAAATAATGACTTCATAACTATTTAACCAAACACTTTTTCTATGAAGTGAAAAATTTATATTCTTATTAAACAAAAAAAAAAAAACATGACTCAGGTAATGTCAGTTTTAGAAGAGATTACTAAAAATCTGAAAGTAATAAAAAAGAAATTAGAGTTTTTTTGACAATAAAATATATGAGGAAAGTATATTCAAATAGTTTAACTATTTTTAATTCTTTACTTTAATTATTTTTAAAATTATGAATAAAAAAATAATTTATAAAATTTTTTATTTTTTTAATGCTTTGGTAGTTGTTGCGCAAACCGCTATTTATCATCGATTTGGATATAAATACCTGAAATGGGTATTCTAAATAATATTTAAAATACCTGATTGAAATGTGTTGATTACTTGAATCAGTTTTTGTTGAAAGGGTGAAAATCACAAATCACAAACATTTCAAAAACTAAAAAAACTTAATTGACTTGCACTTCTTTAGCAGAAACTATAGACGTTTGATAGTTTATTGTGTCATTATGGATACAGTTAGAAACTTCCAACTAATACTTCATCATTGAGTTTATTTTATACTAATACTAAGTCAACTAATACTTCATCATTGAGTCTATGTAATAAACCTTTTATAGTAAAACCAAAGTTTATGCATAGTTAAATTCTGAGCACTGAGCAACAAATACAACATGACTAAAAAATTTAAACATAATATTTAAATTGTTAAGCATTTGATATCTTACCTATTGATACACCAACATGAGATCCAACCATTTTTAACTTAGTTTGAGAAATTCCACCCATTCTAATTTGATCATAGGCACGAGAAAAAAATGCAGCAAAAGTACTTGCAAATGCAACAGTGCGATCACGTGATGCACATCCTATTCCAACTCCTACTAAATTTTGCTCAGCAATAAAACATTCAATGAATCGTTCTAATAAAAAAAATTTTAATAAGATAACTATATACATTTTTAATACTGTATTCACCTCCTCAAGAGTGAAAGAGGCCACTACTTTTGAGGAGGGTACTCCTTTTTTTTTTTTAAACTGTTGTTACAACCTTATCTCAACCTTTTAACTCCAAAACTGTCTCAACAAACAAGACAGTTGCATTGAGAAAAAAGTTGAGCGGAGTACAACCAGGGATGCAGTGGTAATCAAACTTTGAACTTCTTCTTTACAAATTTTGAGGAAAAATGTTTTCACTAATCAAAAAATACCTGGAAATTCTTTTTGAAATGTTATAGCAAAAGTTGAATTTTTAGTGTCTCCATCCATGGCTACTACTCTTTCTGACGATCTTCCGAGTTTTGCAAGAGCCAATCCATACGCCTCTCTTGTAGCAATCTAATTAATTTTTTTTTTTTTTAAAATAATACTTAAACAATACTTCAATAAAAATTCTTTATCAGCATTAAAACAATAATATTATTACAATAATACCTTATCAGTTGGTTTATAGGTAGGCAGCTCTGATAAATATATTGGTTGTATATCAATCTCTTTTGCGTCATCGATAACTATTTGATGATTTATATTTTCACCACTAATATTTTTATCAATCATTTGGCTCTCTATTGCAGAAATAGCTTCAACTGTTTTATCACCAATTGGTTTTCCGTGCCAGTTCATTTGATCTTCAACTCCGGGAATCCCCTTACCTTTTTTTTTAAAAAAAAAAAAATATATACTGTAAACAGTCTTAGTTAAAGAAAAATATAAATGATTTAAATAAAATAATAAAATATATATAATTAAATCAATTACTCACTTTTAATTATACAAAACTTTTGAAAATAATTAAATTTTTTTACATAATAAACAATAACCTTTATATGTCTTGGCAAGCAAGATGGTAGGTTTTCCCTTAAAATGTTCAGCATCATAAAAAGCTTGGCATATAGCTTCAATATCATGACCATCAACAATTATAGAATTCCAACTAAATAATTTTTATAAATATAAAAAAATTTACATTTGTAAACAAATATAAAAAAATTTATACTTGTTTGATTAATGATTAAAATAGTAAAGCAACTGTTCAAACTTGTAATAACTCGCTTTCAACATTTAAACACTAACTACATTTTCAAACACTAATTTTTACACCATTTAATATAGCAACTGGAACATAAAAAATGTTCTAATCATAACTAACTTGTCATTTTTAAGAGTTAATAAATATATTTTTTACATACGATAGCCTTTTAAAATTAACCTAGGTAGCAAGCTTGGTCAGGAAAGCGTGTGATCGCACGCCATTATATGGCAAAAAGATTTTATTGAGAAGAAAAAAATACAAATTTTTGAATTAAAGACAGCCGTTTGAATTAAATAACTTTGATCTTAACTAATATTTTTATATTATTAAAACGCTTTTAAATAAAGTAACAATTCTCTGCTAATGATTTTTTTACATTAAAGTATTAATGTATTTTTCTTTAGTCTTTAAATAAAAAAATTATCAACTAAACTTAACAAACTAAATTATTAACAAATTAAATTATCAATTAAAGGAATAGTTTTGTTCATTATTTTTCGTTTTCATCTTTATTTTTCTTCAATTGTTTTCTGATATTGGATTTCTGACAAAAGAAATAATTTAATAATTTTTCTTTTGTTTACGTTACTACGAAGAATTGGGAAGTTTTTTTTGTTTGTTTTTTATCTTTTAAATGTGCGTATTTATTAAAAAAATGTTGGAAGTCATTACTATATTCAAAAGGGTTTCGCTTAGTCTATATAATAAAGAAAAAACATGTTATTTTTATTTGTAAGTCAGTCGTCATTTTTGTGAAACGCGTTACCCCCCTCCTTAAAAAAAAAAAACGCTAATAAAAAGTTTCCTCGTTAGGTTTAATTGTTTTTTTAAAAATTTTTAACTTATATAATGTTTAAGGCGATAATGTTTTTTTATAAAAACAAAAGTGTTTATTTATATTTTTTTGTCGATTAGTACTATTTATCTTTTATTTTTTTTACTATTAATATAATTTTATACGGTGCGGTAACAAGGCAGATGGAACACTACTAGTTTTACGTTATAAAAACATAAGTAAAGATTCAAAGTTATTTATTTCAACGTCTTATTGTTATCTTATTGTTTATTATTTATTTTAGTAAAGTTTTTTTTTTAATTTTTGTTTTTGTTATTTATTACTGAGCTATTTTATTTTTCATTATTTTTTTAAGATATTTTTTCTTTTTTTAAAATAAATTTGTTTTTTTAGTTTCTTTATAACTAGGTTAAGTTTTCAGCACTTTAAATGTTAAAACTGTGGTCAAATTGTCAAAACAAAATATTATTTGCGTGGTCATATAAAGCCGTGAAATCGCACGCCTTCCTGACCTAACAGGCTTGGTAGTCAATAATTAATGGCAACATCACAACTTTAATTAAAGTATTTCACTGCTTTAAATATAAAAATATTTAATACTTATAGAAAATATATAAATTTGGAATTTAAATCTTTAACTTTAAATATTTACAAAGCATTACAACATAAAGAATAAAACAAAATTAACTTACCCATGTCCTTCCCACATCCTTTGATAATAATTTAAATCATGTTGAATTGATGTAGGGTCACTTTGACCCAAACGATTTACATCAATAATAGCTACCAAATTATCCAGTTTATAAAATGAAGAAAAGTTAGCTGCCTCTATAACACTTCCTTCTGCACTCTCACCATCTCCCATTAAACAAAAAACACGGTAACTAAGTAAAAATATTAAACCAAGTAAAGAATATAAAAATTTTATATTTTTTCAAAAATCTGTACAAAAGAAAATAATTTAAAAAATATAATTGGAAGAATGCTACAATAAGTGAAAATTTTAAGTAAACAACTTAAAATTTTCAAAAATAATAGTTTAATTTTTAGCATGTCTTTTTGCAAGACAGTAGCTCAATACTTTTAACTTTAAATATCCTTTGCCTTAAATTTTTTTTAAGCAATATGTTAAGCAAAAGATTGTACCAGATTACATTTTAACAGTTTCAGGAAGATGTAACCTGAAGTAATTTAAAATTTAACTATTTTATACTTATTTAAAATTACTTTGAACTTATTAAAAGATTTATTATTTTTTACACATTTACTTTGTATTACTGAGAAATTTCAAAAATATTCACCATTACTTTCATATATTATAAGTAGGGCCCGGCGAAGCTTTGAAATTTCGAATCGAATCAAAAATATGATTCGAGATACAATTCGAAAATTTTCAAAAATTGAATCCTTACTTATTTTGTTTTTGTTATGGGTATTTTAGATATTCTGCTCTTTGGTGCAATCAAAATAACGTTACTTATCCCTGAATATCTTTTTAATCAGTCATTAAAAAGGTTAAACAAGGCAAGAAGCATCAATAAAGAGATTATACAATTGTTTTATTTTTATATTTTTTAAAATATATATTATTAAATAAAAAATGCTTAAATTTAGACTTCGAAATGTTGATTCGAAACGTGATTCAAGTCGCGAATTTAGACCTGCTTTGCTCAAGATTCGATTTGAAAAAAAACTGTTGATTTGCAGGGCCTTTCTTTTATAATAACATAACAATGGTAACTCATAGTTACAAAAACTGCTATTAAATACTTCTATTATATAACTTTTTTTAAATAAATCAAAATCATGATAGGGGGTTGTCCATAAATTACATCACGCAATTTTTGACCGTTTTTGACCCCCCTCGTCACAAAATCGTAACACTTAAGAAGCGCGTTTTGAATGAGTCGTCACAAAATCACCAACCCCCCCCCCCTTATAGCGTGACAATTTATGGACGACCCCTAATTACATTTGCAATAGTACTACTGATGATCAATACTTAAAAGGCCTCTAGTACTATTTAATATTTTCTAAGTAGTATTTTAATATAAAAAATTGATTCATTTTTTGAATATTGTTGTTTTGCCTGGCTTCTTTTTCCTTTATATATATATATATATATATATATATATATATATATATATATATATATATATATATATATATATATATATATATATATAATCAGGCTCTCTAAATACTATTAGCTAATGTATTGTGGATAAAAATGAAGATTCTCTGCATTAGTAAATTACCTAATTCTAATTAATAATAAATAGTAATAATAATAAAATACTAATTGGATATGCAAATATTTGCATTTTCTTAATAATTACTAAAACAATATTTAATGTATATTTATAATATAACTCAAATATTTAATGCATATTTACCTGGCTTTATCAAAATACTTTCCAGTGTAAGCCATTCCAGCAGCACAACTCAACCCTTGTCCTAATGATCCAGTTGCTACATCCACAAAACTTAAACGCTATATATATATATATATATATATATATATATATATATATATATATATATATATATATATATATATATATATATATATAAATATATATATATATGTATATATATATATATATATATATATATATATATACATACATAAATTTTGAGAAGTAAATAATAATTAGGAGGACATTCAATTAAAAAACTATTTCTTATAAGCAACCAGAGAAAAACTACAAGATTAGAAAACACTAAATTTAATTTTGCTCAATGAGAGCAAAAATAAATAAATAAAAAAAAAAAATGTATTGTTTTGATTATTTTCTTTAAATGAAGTTTAAAAACCTATAAACTTTTAAGATCAAGAACAAATATTTTAAGGAATTTATTAATTTCAGGAATGAATAATTAGAAATACAATAAGAAATTTTTTAAATTGAAAAATAATGAGGATTGAGTTTTTTTTGTTTAGTTTTATATAGATGCCCATTAATTGACTAAAAAAGACTTTAATATCAAGATTTTCAACAAGAAGCATTTTGCTTTGAGTAAATCCTCAATCAAAAGAGACTAGATGACGAGATGGAATTAAACTATTTGGCAACAGACCAAAGTGATTTATAGTTCTTTCTAAGAAATGAGTTCAATTGATCTTTGGATTTATCAAAATCTTTGAAAAGTAATGTGAAAACCTTAACACTATTAGACAAATATTTGGAATTCAAATTTCATTGCGCTTTCAGAAGTCAGTTTTTTAAAACTAACCAGGATTTTGAATACTTTATCTAATAAAACTGTTGTAGACTTAACCAGTTCCAACATAACATTGGGAGAAAATAACATTTTTTAATAAATTATTTCCTCAAAATAAGTTTCAGTGAAATGGTGACATTATCTAAAATATTAGCAAAATAGTCAAAGCAACAGCTGTTAGACATTTATAATCAGCTCTGCGGGAAAGAGACTCATCAAATATTCTATACATAAAAAAAGTAAATTTTTAATGCTTCAATCAGTAGACTTTTCTTAAGTTTGGAAAGGGTATGGAGACTTTATGTCCCAATGTTAATTAAAGGATCAAATTTATCTTTTTTTTTTTATTATTTACCAGACTTAAAAACATTAAATTTAAATTAAGTCCAATTATTATATTTAAACAATTATAATATTTAGAAAAACATCACTGGCTGATGCTTCCCCTAAGAATTCCAATAAAAAAGTTTTACTTCATTGTCTGTGTCAAGTGAACATGATCAACCATTTGACATTTTTTTAGAAATTTTATTAAAACATGTGGTGTAATATGAAACTTAGTCCAATTTTTTTAGCATTGTTTCTTTAACAAAATGAGCAAAACTATAACATAAAATGTAACATAAGTGAAATTTGAGCTGTTTGACAGTCTGAAAACATGGAAAAGAACAGATTATTTTTAATTCTGATAAGCAGTAAACATATTAACGCTTTAAAATTTCTTGTCACTAAATTACCCTTGCATTTAATGTCTGATCTTTTAACATTGTTTAATTAAATTTGTTTACTTTGAAATTGTTTTCTGTTCTGGTGAATATGTTACTTTAGATAGCTTTTTAAAATAAACTAATCTTACTGCTACCAGATGGAAATCTTTCCACATGCTTTTCCTTTTAGCATGCTGCCTTAAATCCTCTATTCCAATATTTGCAATATTGAAGATCTTCAAATCAACTTAACAAAATGCATTAATTTTATTTTTGCTATGTGTTTCTTATGCAAAAACATACCTATTATATAGTGGAATTAATAACTAGAAAAAACCCGGAAATATGAAATCAAAAAAATTTTTATCCCCTGTTTTTTTTTTAAAGTTATTAATGCGTTTAAATGCATTAAAATGTGTTTTCATGCATTAAAGACTGAAAAAAAAAAAAAAAAATTTAAAACCTTAAAAAATCATTTACTCTATTTATTTTAATAATTATATACAAATTGTTCAAATTACATCTTAATTACTGATTTGATTACGATTTCAGGTAGATTGTATTCTTACTAATATTATTAATACTTTTTAACAAATTCACTTTCATCATGACCGCACCCAATGATCATTCAGGTTATATTTAAAAAAATCCTGAAAACATTTTGCAAAATAAAGAAAGAAAAAAAAAAAATCAGTACTTATTTCCTTTGTATTTGTCTTAATTTGATTTTCTGATTTTTTTTTTAATTTTTTTTTGTATAAGTAATAACTGAAAAAGTTAAAAAACAAATTTATTGCAAAAAAAATATATTTAACTGTATTCTTAAGCTAAAAAATACTTAAAAGGTATTGTAAAATTATATACAAAATCTCTTAAATAAAAATAAATCATTTACCGGAGTAGGATGACCCTCTAAATCATTATCAATTTGCCTAAGCTTCATTAATTCTGACTCAGGAAATAATCCAGCAAGACACCAAGCAGAATACAATATTGGAGCACAATGGCCTTTAGATAATACAAATCGATCACTTGATGGATCTTTAGGACTGCTTACTAAAACAAATATTGTACTATATATCTATAATATATATTTATATACAGTAAAATGTAAAAAACTGTACACTTTACCGAAATGGTGGTAGTGGTGTAGTGGTAAGAGCGCTCGCTTTGTAAGCGAGCGGTTCGGAGTTCGACTCCCACCATGTCCCTGGAAGTACTGCGCTCAACTTAATTTCTCTGCGCAGCGGTCTTGCTTGTCAAGGTTAGTGTTTCGGAGTTAAAGAGTTGAGAGAGGGTTGTACCACGATTTGCAACAAAAAAAAAAAAAAAATGATGTGTAGTTAACACCATCATTTTTATCATCATCAAGCTTGACCAGAGATATGAGTCAAAAAATGCATACGGTGAGTCAAAAGTTGCTCCATCAGAGAAACTTTTTGCATACCCTATTGGTTTTTTTTTCTTATTGTCAACAATCTATTAAAATAAATTTAATTTCTTTTTAAATTTATTTAAAATTATTTGATTTTAACTGATTTATACAAATTTAAACTAACATAATAAGCTTATAATAAAATTTATTTAATGATAAAAATATTATAAAATTATATAAACCAAAATATGATTTGTTTTGTAAATATTAAATAGTGAAAGTCTTTTAAATACAATATATAAACTTTCCTTAGAATATAAAATAATATTTAAAAAACTGTTGGCATTTAAAAAGTTCAAGAGAAAAGTGGAAATTGTTTCAAAAAATTATAATGATTATAAAAACAATATATAGAGTTATACAGAACTCATGTTTTAGAAATCCATTATCCTGTGTATTCGCTGATTTTCCTCTGTTTTTAAGTACTTTTTTCCTGAGTTCGGGTGGTGAAAAGTAGATGGTTTTCCTTCCTAATATTGAACAATATAAAACTTTCACAACTGTTTCCTAAATGTTTTTTTCATGAACTTTTTAAGAAATTAAATACATTCTCTTTAATTAATTGATAGCAATCCATTAAAGGAAGATTTTTTAGTAATAAAAGTAGTTAAAACAAGAAACAAATCCCAAAAAATCTAATAAATATAAAAAATATATAAAAAATTTATATATATATTATAAAAACAAAACAATTTGCATCTGTTTTGAACAAAGTAATGTGTTTTGTTGATAAAGTATAAACCTTACATGAGAACTATTATGAGCAGATTTTACATTGATGATCATTTTGTTTGTAATTTTGAAATTATGTGGCTGAAGATTATTTGATAGCATATGATCTTTGACTTAACGTCTTAGTTATTGATTTTTTATTTAAATTTTGTTCCAGTACTTCCTAATCAATCTTTATAAATATGGTGTTGGAGGCAATCTTCTCGAAAATTGGTCTTTTCTAATCATATCACGTCTTATATTATTACATTTAATTAAAAATTTATCTAAATTTTCTCGCACTTGAAGCAAATTTAAACGATCAGGTATCAAGCTTACAAATTCGAATACAGAAACTTGAGAACAACTTGAAGTCTGACCTAACCAAATTGGACATAACATCGACCAAGCTTAGTGTTGATTTAATGAATAAAACAAACGATCCCACGAAAAAAATCCGAAACTAAAAATGACATAACCCTCCTTACCCAATTCTTTAATGCTTGTGGAGCCTCTATGGTTATTTATTCAGTTCGAAGACTAAATTCAAAACCTAAGAGTAGCGGGCCTGCCCCGAATTTATTAAAAGTTACCTTTGACAGTGAAGATGGATGAAATAAGGTACTTGAGTAGTGCTATCGCCACTTAGTCGATGAGTTTAAAGGTGTTTTCGTTCGCGAAGACCTAACCCCAGTACAACAAACGGAATTCAAAGAGTAAAGCAAAACATTAAAAGCACATAACAACGAACTTAATGAAACAGGCCTCCTCGATAATCCTTTTTGTTATGTCGTTCACCGCCGCACTAAACAAATTTGCTGTATCAACGTTGAAGAGTCATCAAACAAGAAACGTTACGTATTTGCATCACTAAAAGGAAAAACCATGCATAAAAAGTTATCGAATGATTGACCACTACAATCTTCTCCCATCATAAAAACCACTGTCAGAACGTTAAATTGTGGATATTTTAATGCAAGATCTCTGATCAATAAACTAGAAAACCTACACAACCTTCTCCAATATGGCAACCATGATATCATCCTCATCACAGAGACTTGGCTTAACACCTCTACTCCAGACTCGTTGTTAAATGAAAACGACTACAAAGTTTTGTGACATGACCGTGACAGTAAAGGTGGTGGCTCACTTATATTGGTGCACAATGATATTCATTCAGTCCAAATTCGTCCGGAAATTCCCGACGATCTTTAAAACACTGAATTTACCTGTGTCGACGTAAGTGCTTCTTCAAACCACGTCAAGATAAGATTTTGGTGTACTTACCACCCACCTTGTGCTTCTTCTAACATTGTTAAAACCAAATCCATGTGCAAATTGATTTCCAATTTTCTGTCAACGTGTGATTCTGCATGTATAATAACCGGTGATTTTAATTTACCACGTATAGACTGGTCAATTCCTATCAGTTTTGGTGCCATGATTTTTTCGTAGAAACTTGTTTTGTAAATGCTCTCACCCAACTCGTAACTGACAATACTCGACTTAATAATTTGTTAGACCTCATCTTACCAAATAATAAAAAAATTGTTTTCAATGTGGAAACAGCTGCTCCATTCACCAGCACTTGTGAGCATTCCACCATACTATTTAATTGTAATTTGATGAATTCCAAACGTCGTGAACTATCTAGTATTCACAATTTCTATAAAGCTGACTATATTTCGATTAATAACGACTTACTTAACAAAAACTGGTATATGTTGGCCAAACAAAACCCAGATGTTGAATCGTTCTGGCAAGCTATTTGTAAAGTCCTAAGTGTATTTATTGCTTCTCATGTTCCTTTATTATGCAATAAAAAAAAGTTCGTTCAACGCCTTGCTATTCGTAAATTAGTATTGCTCAAGAAAAATACATAGTAGACAACTCCAATTTAGCCCAATTTTATTCTTATGTCAATTCAAAATTTAACTGTTTAAATTCTGTTGCGCCACTTGTAAGACCCAACGGTTTCCTTTGAACTGATGACTGTGAAAAATCGAGCCTTCTGAACAATTTTTTTGCTTCAGTGTTTGTCTCTGACAACGGTACTAAACCTGTGCTAGACCTACCATCCCACAATAATTCTTTGAATAATGTCCTATTTTCTTATGATTCTGTTCTATCAGCTCAAACTTCCACCAAAGTCATCAAAATCACCAGATGGGTATCCTGCTTTATTCCTGAAATCGATTGTTAATATTATTGCCATCCTGTTCTCTCTCCTTTTCGAGTTGTCAATGTTAACCGGTGTAATTCCGAATATTTGGAAAACTGCATATGTATGTCCGATTTTCAAGAAAGGTAACCCCTCCTTATCTACGAACTACAGACCTATTTCAATGACTTGTATTATTTGCAAAGTTATGGAGTCAATTATTGATAATAGTTTAAAAAGGTACTTTCAACTTAATAACTTTATCTCTATTCACCAATTTGGGTTCTTAAAGCGTAGATCTACATGTACACAGATGTTAGCTTCTCTTAATGAATGGACCTCAGCTTTTAACAAGAAAAAGGAAGTTGATATTATCTATATTGACTTTGAAAAGGCATTCGACTCTGTATTGCATTCTAAGTTAGTGTACAAACTGAATTGTTACGGCATTAAGTACGAACTTCTTAATTGGATTACCAACTTTTTAACTGATCGATCCCAATGTGTTTGCATTGGCAATTCTTACTCAAACTACGTACCTGTAAAGAGTGGAATACCCCAAGGAACTGTGTTGGCTCCGACTTTATTCTTATTATTTATTAATGATGTAGTTTCTTGTATTGAAGGTGATTGTCGAATAAAGCTGTTTGCTGACGATATATTTATATATTTAATTTTTTAATTTTGAATTACTCCCAAAAAAGGATGCAAGCAACCAGTATTAAGTTGGAAGTTACTAGAAAACAAAGAATAGAGTTAAAGAGTGAGAGAACGGTTGACAGAAGACTTGAAAAGTTGTAGTTGTATGAGTCAGGAAAACATGAAGACAGGAGAGAGTTTGAAACAGAAGTAGAGTGGAAAAAATAGATGAATAGAAATTTTTAGAGCATGCAGGGCAAATACAGTAAAACAATGAGACTTTGCTGATTGACAAGTCAAGTGAGAATGAGTTTTAGTTGATAGAACCTAAAGATAACAGCCCTTTTGAGCAGCAACCATATTTAAGCCAGTATTTGTAGAAAAGAGAATAAGATGCAACATTATAATGATGGGAGAGAGGCTTAAGCTATGCAGATAGAGCAGGTCGAACTTGCTAACTTAGCAAGTGATTGCATATATGGTTTATATGAGAGGTCAGTAGTGAATGGGGTCAATCCAAGAAGACATAAAGAAGAGGACTCAGTGAGAGGGTTCCTATTCATCAATAAAGGGATTTCAACAGTATTGCAATAGTTGTTTTCTGTAAACAACTAAATCATGCAGGAGTTAAAATTCACAAGCCACTCCAAGCACCAATCTGTTACAGAAGTGAGATCAGATTCAAGATCAGCTATCCGTTCTAAGCGTTTGAAAGGAAAAGACTTTTTGTCAAGACAGGAGTATAAAGTTGAGTTGTCAGCAAATAGAGCCATTTTATATGTATGGTTGTCAAGAAGATCATGAATGTAGATAAGAAACAAAACAGGATCAAGAATAGAACCTTGGTGTACCCTAGAATCGATGATTTGATAATCTCAAAAACTTTCCCAGATACACCATTTGAAACACGCTTATAGAGAAACTTTATCAAAAGTTTTAGATATGTAAAGCCCTACTCAGCTAACATTGTATAAAAAAATTTCAGTGGATCTATATATACATTTTGAGCGAATCGCTGTAGTTTTGCTCATCGGTTACTTAGTGAACCATTAGTGGCAGCCACCAAAATTGGCTAGACAATGACTAGCCATTATTAACATTTTGGAAAAT